TGTTTAACTTAGAAAATTTGGGCGCAATTTTAATTGTCAAAAACTCCAGCGAACCATTAGTTCATTTTGCTCAAATAGAAATTGAGGCCTGCCTCCAATTCTGACCCTCCTTCCAATAAAGGCCTGGAGCTTGATGAGCTTGAGTAAAATATAGGCCCTTGCCTGTATTAGAGGATTTACGGTATAATGAAATGTTTCATTAATCTGTGCTGAATGATAGAAGTGTGAAATGAATGTTATGTTATGATTACAATGATTGAAATATGTTTCAGCATGTTTATATGTCAAGGTCATAACCATTTGCACTCACACAAGGACAAAGTACTGTAAGGTTAAGTTAAACCCATGACACATAAATAGTACTTTACCCAGATCAGAGCGTCCGGTATCAAGGAAGGCGTGTTTCTGAGATTCTTGGTAATGTTCCTCAAACTTGTCAACCTCTGGTTGGCTACACAAATCGTAACATGAGAACATTACAACCAGATTACTCTGGTGATTCCTCAGTTCTAGAGAAAGCTTCAGACCGGCCATCTGAAGCAAAACCCTCTTTAACCATCAAAGCTTTTGACATGTTTTCAAAATCTTTTTGCACCTGCGAAGTTGATACAGCAACAGTTCCTTCATAACAAGCTGATATTGTTTAGACTCCTTCAGAGTCCCAGACACGCGGTTCCATCCATCTGCCGTGACCCGAGATATCTCTGGACTGGAGAAGTCGGTGCTGTGGTCAATCTACTGGACCTTCAGTACCAGAGGTCATCCGACCTTCGGATCCACTAAGAGGGTCTCCAGAACAGGTAAAGTAGACACACAGATAGTGTCTGATGTGTTTTTGATAATAATCAACTTCATAGCTTAACGCAACCCAAATTCTTTTGCATCCAGAACTCAGCTTTCCTAGATAAGGAAGCTCTGACTAACAACCGCATTCACACACAGGTTCATACATCACATGTAGTTCCATCCATCACAGTAAATGTTAGTCACTTGTCATGTTTTAATTGTTGGTAAAATAAATTCTTACTTTTATAAACCTGACTCTGTTCTGAATCAAAACGAAGTGTGTGCAATCCCTTAATAATCAAAGAATCCTAGAGTCTTCTAATTAAACACCATAAAGACCAAGCAGAGTTGAAATTCTATATTTAGATAGAGTATCACAGCTTATTGGTCATAAGTAGAGGTAATATATATATTGAGCTCTTAAAGCACTCAATTTACCAAACCCTACATCATGAAGAGATGGACATGGTCAGAAACAATGCTCAGGAAACCCTTGGCATTTAAACCATGCCCAATTGGCACTAAGGGGCTTAAAGTTTGCAAACAAAACCTCCCCCACACCATTACACCACCACCAGCAGCCTCCTGCACAGTGGCAACAAATGAATGATAAATGACCCGCACTTGTATAGCGCCTCTGAGAGTAAGGACTCCAAAGTGCTTTACACTACAGTGTATCAATCATCCATTCACACACACATTCACACACTGTTGGTGATGAGCTACAATGTAGCCACAGCTGCCCTGGGGCACACTGACAGAGGCGAGGCTGCCGAGCACAGGCGCCACCGGTCCCTCCGACCACCACCAGCAGGCAAGGTGGGTTAAGTGTCTTGCCCAAGGACACAACAAGGCATGATGGATCCATGTTCTCATTCTGTTTATGCCAAATTCTGACTCTACCATTTGAATGTCTCAGCAGAAATCCAGACTCATCAGACCAGGCAACATTTTTCCAGTCTTCAACTGTCCAATATGGTGAGCTCGTGCAAATTGTAGCCTCTTTTTCCTATTTGCTATCCACTGCTGTTGTAGCCCATCTGCCTCAAGGTTGTGCGTGTTGTGGCTTCACAAATGCTTTGCTGCATTCCTCGGTTGTAACGAGAGGTTATTTCAGTCAAAGCTGCTCTTCTGTCAGCTTGAATCAGTCGGCCCATTCTTCTTTGACCTCTAGCATCAACAAGGCCTTTTCGCCCACAGGACTGCCGCATACTGGATGTGTTTCCCTTTTCACACCATTCTCTGTAAAGCCTAGAAATGGTTGTGGGTGAAAATCCCAGTAACTGAGCAGATTGTGAAATACTCGGACCGGCCCATCTGGCATCAACTGTCATGGCAGAGGGGAGTTTCCTGACCCAAGACATGCAGAATCACACTAGGAGACGGAGACAAGTAAAAATAAGAATGTTTTTTGTAAGGGAAACTAAAGGTGCACAGCTTCAGGGCTGGGTCTGCTGAGACAAACAATGGTCACGATAGGGCAGAGTAGAATGCTAGGAGGAATTGGTTTCTGTAGTTCTTACTATTGACTGAGATCCAAGACATTGAGGGGGAGTCAGGACTGGGGTGAGCTGCGGAGGTGTGAATCCAGAATCCAAGGGAGGTGAGCGGGTCAGTCCAGGCGTGGAGGGAGATCAAGCTCAAAGTGTCATGCCACCGCTCCAGCCAGGCCCAGTTTCCCCAGCAACCACAACCAGCTCATCATCTACCTCATCCAGACCACCTGTCTCACTCATCAGCTCCACCTGCAACCACCTCTATCTAACATCAGGAAGAACACCAAGCCAGTGCCAGATTATTGAAAGCATTCACTATTAGATTCTCCAGCATTCTAAACCCTGCCTAAACCTCAAGATCCTGACCTCGCTTCTGAACCTCGACCTTGTCACCTGCCTGCTCCCTGACTGGATTATCTCATAGTTTCTGATCTTCTGGACTCCTGACCTTGGATCTGTTTCACGGACTCTGCCTCTGGATTGCCCCTCCTGGCCAAGCCTTCTGCTACTGCCCTTCCTACAGACTGGTAACACTCCCCAGTGTGTTCCCTAATAAAAGCTTTAAAGCGTCTTACTGTGTCTGGTGTTTTCACTGGTCCTCCAGTCCAGGTTGTTACACAAAGGTGAAATCCAGGTTATTGCAGAATTGGCCAGTGGTAAAAGTTCCTGGTGAGGACAAGACAGGGTTCATTCAATGCACCAACGATGGCTTGTGAGCAAAAGGCAAAGGACTAAAGCTATAGTTTTCTCTATGATGGCAACAGCTACCCAAAGTGAATAATCATCCGGTGAAGTGAAGTGATATCCCAGCTCCTTATGTTCTGGACCGGTTGATTAGGAATTAACTGCAGCTGGCTGCTCTTCAGAACCGCCCACCTGCAGTGACTGAGGCAAGGTGAACAGAATAGTGTGTCACTCACCCCAGATCCTGGCACCAACAACCACGCTACTATCAAAATCGCTTAAATCACCTTTCTTTCCCATTCTGACCTTCAGTTTGGAGTTCAGGAGATGGTCATGACGAGGACCATACCCCTAAATGCATTGAAGCAACTGCCATGTGATTGGTTGATGAGATAATAGAGTTAGGGAGAAGTTGAACAGGTGTTCCCAACAATCCTTTAGGTGAGTGTAGATTTTCTATGTGGTTAAGGTCAGACCAGTTTGCTTATAACCTGTATTGAAGAGTGTCTAATAGTGCTGTACACATGTGTAATAATCATTTTGGCATTTTAGTATTTCAGCCCTAACCCGTAATTATATCTGCATCTTCATGTTGCAAGTCTGCGCCACACTGATGTAGAATCAGCCACAGTTGTAGAGCTGCAGGGTGATGTTGTCTGTACCTTACTACGTGGCCGTACTTTACTGGACTCCTGCTGAGTCTCGCCGCACCTCCACCTGGCCCGGCCACTCACCTGCTGATATGACCTGTTCATGCTCAGAGCTGCTCGCCTTCTT